CAGAATACAAGTAAACACTTATAACAATAAACATTAAGGCTTTTACTGTTCGTGTAATTGCATACTCAGAGTAGAAGATGGCATATACTTTGATTCACAGTTGAACAAATAAATACTGTGTTTGCATAATTTTTTAGGAGTTTTAAAATTTGTAAAAGCTCTTTCAATTGAAATTGAGTTTTCCTCTAAATAAGGAAGAACAGATAGAATAAATTATATATGCATTCTCAACAATAGTTCCCAAAACAATGTAGAAAGAAATTAAAGTGGGATGCTATTTTGTGTTTGCTGAAAATAAACTAAGACAAGTACCTGCTCTTGATACGGTGTTTACCAGTGCGACTGTGTGCAGTTATAACGGTAATTATGTACTAACCGCATTATCAAGGACCTTGCAGATATATAATATGTTACAGTAGAAATGGTGTACTTGTAAAGATGACCATATGACTAGCTGTATATGAGTGACTTGATACCAACATTTTACTCATCCTAATGAACAAAGTTCAAAGTCCGATTGTTAAAATACAGGAGTTATTTTATGAATCAAATCTTTAATCTTTCTATGAATTGTTCAGTTGAAGGGATCAGAGTGTCAACACTGGGCAGAGATGCCAACCCTTACGATTTTGGCGTATAAGTCTGATGAAAATAGCGTCCAAAATACGCCTTACGATTTCTCTCTATATTTTTCCAATTTCGGTTTTTCACGATCAAAGTTTATAATACAGGAATTTTCATAACTGGCCGTCTACAGTTTCTACTATTATTATCAAATATTCAGCATCCTTACAACGCTTGCTTGTATTGTCGTTTCGGTTTCAGATAGTAAAGTAAACAAAATGGAAACGTGCCCCAAATTGCTCTGATTGCATGTCCATTTACAAAACATCTTCAGCGGCAGGGGGTCTACGCGGTCTCCGGACCCCGCCTTATTATTTTTCATTTCAGAATGTTGGCAGCTCTGCACTGGGGCAGCTATCTCCTCCATGGCACCTGATTCCATCTCAAATGTTTTAAGAGGTCCCAATTTGCATTTTTTTAATGGACTTCAAAACTTGATTACTGTTCACTATTTGTTTCTGCATATTTCATTATGGTGATTCAATTCAAAAAAGAAAAAAATTAAACCTAGAACATGTTAGACATATAATTGTAGGGAAATTTTATTACATGAACGTCAGCAACTTGGTAGCAAAAGATTAACTATTGATATTTAACAAATACCAGGCTGAAGCATTACTGAGTTTATTTTTATCAAGTGATGCAATGAATTAAAATGTTACTTTATATCAGGATACTGGAAATTATTGCCCACAGCTTGATGGTAAAATTAGTCACTGAATCAAGGATCGAAGTATGAAATCTAGTGTCATTTGTCTAGTAAAAGTTGTGTTGTTATGAAGTATATTGGATCTGTCGATTTAAGTTTGACCCAATATCTATACATAAGGACTATAGCTTTTCTTTATCCAAAGATGGTCTCAATCCAGAGATGTTTAGACTGTAGTCTGTGTTTTGTGACAGGGGCCGTTATAAATGCACCACATCGCGGCAGTTGGCTGCTTACATTTTGTGATTACTCAGCTAATTGTGTGCCTCTATTATAGGGATGATTATCTCTAAGTGGTCTCCAACGACCAATCGTAATTCCTCCATTGTTAGAGAGGGAGACAAATAAACCATATTGTACAATCCGTGTAAGCTGGACCGCTCTGACGAGTGACGGAGTTCTGCGATAGGCGGGCCCTACTCACGATAGAGTGTCGCCCACTTGGTACTTAGAGATGGCATATGAGTGCATTTCTAGTATTTAAATGCAGCTCTTTGAAAAAAACTTTCATTATCCTTTATTTCTTGGCAGATAAAAAACATTTTGAGGATTGCATATCTAGTGAGAAAATGTGGAACGGGACGTGGGGAATGAATATTAGAATATGTCACTGACTTTTGTTTTCATATTCGTGATGGAGGATAAATAAAATTACATGTATTGAAGAATTGTGGATTTTGCTTGGAACTTTTTTAGTTGCTTTGTGTGTTGGGAGTTATTTGAACTGAAAAAAATAAGTTCCGGTAATTTTAGAATGAAAAGAATTCCAGATGGCTGAAGAAGGGGTATATGAATATTTGATTTTATGGAGAGCGTACTGAATTTACCATGAAATTTTGAGCTATATAGCATTGTTAGTATTTGTTTATGGAGAGGCCAGGAATTTGCTGAATATTCCATTTCTTTTAGAGCTACTGATGGGACTAGCCTCAGAGAACAATGCAGATAAAAGTGTTAAACAAACCGATTACTAATGGAGCAAATATTGAAATATTCCTCTCCCAAGATTTTTTATGAATGGATGTTCACAAAATGATGATTTTATTATGCAGTATTTGAGTCTCATTGATTTTATTTCATTTCTCGCGGGAATAGCCATATGGAGGATGAAAGAATTTTGTGATGCAGGCGAAATCGTCCCCAGTCGACATTTACCCAAGTCCCCAGTAATTATCTGGGGACCGATGCTAATTGTGTATAGAACAATTGACATTTATGTAAATGAGGGGCTTTAGCATGAGATTCCAGTATTGTAGTTTCTCTGCCACTGTCGGACGGTTTGCGTTATGATGTAGTGCTGGGTAATACTATTGTAGTTTTATTGTCGGACAGTTTGCGATATGATGTAGTGGCTCCGTATTACGGGACAGTTTCAGTGGGGAGATTTGATTTCAGCCTGGGCTAGCGGGGAAGGCTTTAGTTACGAGGTGGACTTAGTTATCCTTCAAAACTTTGGACTGTGATAGAGTTCATTGGGAAGAATTTCATTGTGTCCTGAAGTGTGAATTTGACAGCAGATTGTTGATTTGTTATAGGATTTGTGACTTCATTGCCACGGTGGCTCGTGTCTATATTGTATGTAATTTGGATCATTTTGGAAGAATTTTTTGATCTGGTTTATCACTATACACAGCTATAAAGGAGAACATTGTATCTGACTCTGGCTTTTTCCTGCCATGAAGGAATATCCTAATAAGGGCAGTGAGGGATTTTTATTATAAGGAAGTTGTGAAGGAGTGCTTTCATTGACAAGCAACGGAACTCTTTGCATTTAACTAATAAGAAAATTCAGACTTCTTTTTGAATATATTATACAAGTTCCATAACAGTATGGCTTGTGTAATGATTTTTGCAACAGTTACCCCAAGTTTGGAGTTCTGTGAAATTGACTGGTTCTCCTTGTCAATGAGACCAGTTTACCTGATAGCTGATTGGCTCAATATGTCCACCATCAGCCAGTGTATAAGCTCCTATCAAAGGAACTTAAAGCAAGGTAATATATATTTAGCCAAGAAATTTTCCAGATTATTTTTTACCCATCTGTATGATTAAATATTGTAATACACAGATTCATGTGTTCGGGTGTACCTTAAAATCCTTAAATCACTGTTTGACATTAAAGACTTTATGCTAGTTTTGTGAATGGTATTTGAAGTATGTAACTTTATCATTAAAATTCTCAGTGAGAAAGTCATATATAGTGATAATATTCTTTTGTGAAGTTCTAGATTTAATGTATGAATTATTCTATATTTTAATCTTCATTTTAAACATTGTACCAGGAATTCAAAAGTTTTTGGTTGGATAGAGTGAAATCAATAAAATATCTTTCAATTTTGGATGTTGAATGTATTGTAATGAAAAAAAAAATCTTAGTTTACTTAGGAAACTTAGTTTTTGCAACAAGGAGGGGTTTAAGACTTATATTATTAAGGTTTAGCACAACTCTGCAGGAGAGATTAACTTTTTTCCGGACTTGTCCATTAACAAGTCCAAGATATTTACTTGTCCAATTATAAATTCAACTTCACGTGTCCGAAAAAATTTCATTGAATATCTTATTCTGTCAATTGAAAACTATTACTTAGATGAAAAAAAATTAAACGTGCTTTATTTATTAGTCTTGTTATTGATAAAAAAGACAAACACATATGAAACAAAATTTTATCTATATAGACTACCTGACCTGACAACAACATAAATGTTTGCAAGTGAATCTGTAATTCAATCAGATATATTCCAAACCGGCAAACGCCGTAAGATCCACGCCATGCAATAGTATGGATGCAATAAGTGAACATTGATCCCGATCAAGTGTGAACTTCAACTTACATAGCAATTGATATCGGGATCGAAATTAGGGTTTATGTACTGTTTCCGTTTGTATTCGATAAACTTTTCAATTAAATCAATAGTTGTTTTTTATTATTATTCAAAGACTTCTTTGCATGAAAAATCACTTGTCCAATCGGACAAGTGCCCAGCAATATTCACTTGCCCGTAATTGTTTTTCATTGGTACCGGAGAGAGAGAGAGTTAATGTCGAACTCTGATAAGAGAGATAACTGTTTATGGGATAATTAAATCTCTTATATTTTTGGCAATTATAAATTTTCAAGTTTAAGTGTCTGACAAATTTAGCCATGCAAGTAATGCTGCAATTTACATAACTTATTAAAAATGTTGTTTCTTTTGAAAAATCAGAAGCAAATGGATTAAAACATGAAAATTTTACAGTTGATTTAATTTTTTGATTTTTTTTTTGTCAATGCCAGACCCAATCACCATCAAAGTTTAGAGTTTTATTCATTTGTCAATGAGCTGTATAGAATTTATTAATAATATTAATAACAAACTGGGTGATGATGTATTGTGGCTGGCTAGCATCAGATTCACAGCTCTATATTGACTTAAACACAACGTGGGGAATCTGCTTCATGTAGAAGCTTTTAATTTGATACAATTTCATCTCTCTCTGTAGAATCAGAGACAGGTTTTGTACAGTGAACTTGACAAATGAAAATTCATAACGGTACATTGTTAAATATTATTTACGAGAGAGAGAGAGATCAACTTGACAAAAATATACTGTGATCATGCAGTGATCGATATTGATATAGAAGTATTCCTTGTCAATTAAGTTGAGAAATCTGTTGTATCATTTCAGATGTGTATGGTGATGCTCGCTATATAGACAAAACCAGACGTACAGACACACCAGAGAAAAGACAGACAGACAGGGCGGGCGCTAACGAGACAACGCCGAGATGGCCATGCTGTCGCTGAAGATCAGCGTGGTGGGGAACAATGTCGTCAAGACGATGCAGTTCGAGCCGTCCACCCAGGTGTACGACGCCTGTAAGATCATTCCATTAAGGTTAGACCGGGCAAATTCAGAATAGAGACCAATCACACATCGTAAGGAATATAGGGCACAGAGTTGTGTTTGTTTACAAGAGACCAATCCCGGAAATCGTAAGTATCATAGAGACCAATCCCGGAAATCGTAAGTATCATAGAGACAATCCCGGGAATCGCATGTAAAGCTAAAGATGTAAAATCATCAGGGACCGCATCATATGGCCCCGTGTCTGAGATTTTTTTTACACTACATCACTGTATCAGTGTTCCCTCAGCAGGAGCCAAAATATTTTTTAACTCGTGGGATAAAAATAGCTCTGAGCAGGTGTCTGCTTCTGGTATCCCACCACCAAGATTGGAATCAGCTGTGTGTTTGTTTGAATGGGGGTTCACTGTGTATATAAAAAGCTTCTAATGTAGCAGGAAATGCTGATTAAGCATTTACGGGGAGAGGTTATGTCTGCCGATGGATTGATGACGGAATTAACGCGTTATATTTATAAATTTACCAACAGATGAGACATGTAAGAAATATCGATTTCAGGGACATTTAGTACATTTTGAAGAGGATCAGAATATCTTACAATATTTGTCCAATGATTTTTTGTTCTCTAAAGAAGGAAATGCATTACATAAAATAATTCCCTCTCAAATTAAGCCCTTTTATTCAATGCTCTCTGAATATGATAAATTAATGACACTTTATGTAATTTTTCCTGTTAATGATCTATTTATATAGTGGTATAGAGAGGGGCACCTGTTCTATCATAATCCTCCCACGATCTGATTGACAGGAAATCAACACCAAGAGATTTAAAACTCCATTCACAAAAATATCTCCCAAAGCCTCTATCTAAACAGGCATGCTGGTAGGCACTGGGTACTGCACACAGAGTCTGTTCAATAGAAATAGATTCAGATTTAGTTTGAAAAATAAATTAAGATGGAGCTTAAAATGATTTTTGTGGGATACATATTTATTAAATTTAGAAGGGGATGTAACATTTTGAGAAGGGGACCCAATGTATTGTGTGTGAAGGAGGGAAGTGATATAGACCTTTGGTGGGGAACCAAGTCTTGCCTCCGTGTATCACTGTGTTGTTTACAGTTTAGTGACGTGAGCATTGCCTCTCTGTAACATTGTGTTGTGTTTAGTGACATCAACAGGATGAAGGTGAGTCACTGTGGGAAGGAATGTAGATCTTCCAATCTGTTGATAGACTCGATTTGTTGACTTCTGTTTTGAATATCATTTTTCTCTGCTTTACCATGTTTTGGGGGGATCTTCTGTTTTTCACTTCCATAAATAAATGATTATTTAATAACGTATGAGAAATATTGACAGAATAGAAATGCATGTTGGAATTTGATGTTCCTTATGATAAGTCATTAAACTTAAATTATGTGTTAAAGTACCTTCTCTATCTATGCTTATTTCAAACCTCAATAATTAACCTAACAATTGATCAATCTACCATCATGCACAATATGGGTAATAAGTTAGACTTAAATTATAAGATTAGATACAATAAAGGTCCTCATTGAAACACAGATTTGTCATTTAATATTAGTCAGTCAACGTTCCCATGCTTGCATGCTCGGAAACCACCATGCTGTAAGATATTTGATCTGATGTTCTGTTGTATGGGGATGGGGGAATCTGCATTCTCTTCCATATTGATTGCATGGTCTCGCGGGAAACCAGAAATTGTCATGATTTAAATTTACACAATAAAATGGCATTGACGACTGACATCTGGTATTGTTAAACAAAGACCGCGTAATATATTGTAATTTACCAGAATCTGGCTCAGACATGCGTTTTATTTCATGCAAAGCTGATGAGGTTTAATGTAACGAGTAAGATGCACGTGTGTACAAAGATATGATATACTAGGAAAAAAGTGGAACAAAACGGGGGCTTTGTGTAGACAATTTATAATTTATAAAACAAATCCAATTTAGAGAACTCAATTTTATTATCTTGGTCCTGCAAAGTTTGTTGCTGTCAGATAACAAGATTTTACTTAATTGCAATTAAATAAAATTCTTAAAATTATTTTAATACACACTATAATTGTATCAAAAGGAAAAATCTCCACAATCCCCCCTTTTTTTTTGAGCAGAAAGATCATTGAACAAAAATATCATGAACACATTGGAATCATTGATGTTGATAAGACTGTAAACATTTTATCTTTGGAAGCACAAGACTGTGGACTTTTTCTTGTTGAATGGCTGTATCATCTTCTCTATGTCTTTTGTAGCACAAGATTATGGACTCTTCCTGGCTGACGAAGATCCCAAAAAAGGGGTGTGGCTAGAAGCAGGGAGAACTCTGGACTACTATCTCCTTAGGAATGGGGTAAGTGACCCATTGGGAATGTATTAAAAATTCCATCATTTTGAAAAAATGAAACTCAAGCTATGGTAAATAAAAATGGTGTTGTTTTATTTGTTTATTCACTTTGTTAAAAAATTATGGGACTTGTTGCACAGAAATATTTTTTTTGATTCTATTAATTTGTTTTAAAGAAATTAATAATAAATATAAAAAAAAACTTAAAAATTTAACTTATAATCTTTATAAAATTTGTTTGCATATAATTTCACTGTTATATGACAAGATCTATAAGAGAGAGTGAAGGCAGAGTTGTGTAGTTTTAAAACAACCCTTGAATCTTCATCATAAGGAAATTTCAATATGCTTTTTTGTTAGGATTAGGGATATGTCGTATTTCACGTGCAAATTACATGATGTGATATTTATGAACCATTATGTGAGCAGTCTATTTATAATGCAGATTCTAATTGTTGGTTAGTCAGGAAGAAAACAGTTTTAATTCATAATTATTTATGAATGGAAATCTTCCATTCAATAAGGAAGAGACAGTCAGAATTCAATTTAAATAAGCTGTTCTATTGGAAAATTTTAAATTGTTTATTCAGTTTGTTAAAAAATTATGGATTGCACAATTTTTATTAAATTAATTGTTTTAAAGAAATTAATAATAAATATAAAAAAAAAACTTAAAAATTTAACTTATAATCTTTATAAAATTTGTTTGCATATAATTTCACTGTTATATGACAAGATCTATAAGAGAGAGTAAAAGCAGAGTTGCTGTAGTTTTAAAACAACCCTTGAATTTCATCAAAATTTCAATATGCTTTTTTAAATTTAAAATTTATGTAGGATTTATTTCACATGCAAATTACAATGAGAATTTTACAACCATTATGTGAGCAACCTATTTATAATGCAGATTCTAAAACTGTTGGTTAGTCAGGAAGAAAACAGTTTTAATTCATAATTATTTATGAATGGAAATGTTTCATTCAATAAGGAAGACAGAGGGAATGCAATTTAAATAAGCTATTCTATTGGAAAATTTTAAATTGTTGAAGGAGTGCTTTTAAGGAAGTCATTAAAGATTGCAAATTTGTATTAAATTCAAGGAATTCAAGATATTGTTAGATAAAATCTACTTTAACTGCTTATAATAAGAAGTTTTGTTTTATAATTCTCTCAGTGAGGCTATAATCTTGATTTAGAAATAAATTCATGAAGTTCCAAATAAGGGGAAAATAATGAACAAATTTGCAGAAAAATTGCCAGTGAGCAATAAGGTTTTAAATATTTTAAATTTATTGTAGGATTTATTGGAGTACAAAAAGAAAATGAGAATTTTACAAATCAAAACCTTATGTACCAAAATGGGTAAATATCAGATATCAATACATGTATGTACCAAAATGGGTAAATTAATATCCGAATATCGCTCATGCAAATATGTATCAAATGATACCAAATATGAATTATTTTCAAAATAGCCATTTAACATAATGGGGGTACAGCAACATATTTAATAAAATGTCAGAAACACTATACATCTGATTGTTCAGTTTTTAATTGTCATTACCACATCAGTGTGTGTATTAAAATGGGTAAATCACTCAATGAAACATATTTACCGTGCATTTTGATACCATACAAACAAACACTCAAGTAATTCTAGTGATGCCTGTTTGTAAAATTGATTGGAAGAATATTTCCAATAATGATATGTAACCTAATTTTCAGGCATTTCTAACCATGAGGAATACTCGCTGGTCCGCGAGATGACGGACGACGAGAAAGAGAAGACGCTGACACTACGACGAGATAAATCCATCGCCAAGGACCAGAAAAAACTAGAAGAGATGAGGAAGAAACTACACACAGACGACGAATGTAGGTCAATCTATAGCTATACACAGACGACGAATGTAGGTCAATCTATTTATAGCTACACACAGACGACGAATGTAGGTCAAACTAATTATAGCTACACAAAGACGACAAATGTAGGTCAAACTAATTATAGCTACACAAAGACGACAAATGTAGGTCAATCTATTTATAGCTACACAGAGGATGAATGTAGTCAACCTATTTATAGTTACTCATAGACGATGAATGTAGGTCAAGCTGTTTATAGCTACACATAGACAACGCATGTAGGTCAAGCTATTAATAACTACACTCAGACAATGAATGTAGGTCAAGCTAAATATAGTTCATGCTATTTATAGCTACAAAGTCAATGAATGGGGGTCAAGCTTTTTATAACCATACGCAGATAACCAATATAGGTCAACTTTAGCTACTCACAGTCTATGAATGTAGGTCAGTATTTTTAGGTATTAAAAAAAGGAATATAGCTAAAGCTATGTATAGTTATACACAGACAACAAATGTAGGTTGATCTATTTTTAGCTTCACACAGACAACAAATGTAAATCACACCAGAAATTTTGCTACAGACATTTAAATGCAGGTTTTTGTAGTTGAAGAATACTGTTTTATTTGATGGCAAGGACTTGTATTAAGTGCTGACTGTGACTTTTTCAGTGGAGTGGTTGGACCATTCGAGGACACTGAGAGAGCAGGGTGTGGCTGACTCAGACACCCTTCTACTGAGGAGGAAGTTCTTCTTCTCTGACCAGAATGTGGACCAGAGAGATCCGGTACAACTCAATCTATTATATGTACAGGTAAGACACTGCAATGCTCAATCTTCTTTATGTACAGATAGGTAAGGTATACTGGTCAGTTGAAATTGGTCATCTGAAACACAATGGAGCAAAAATGTAACAAAAAATCTTGAGATATATGAGGACATTTGTATGAACAAATATATCTTAAAATGTAAAAATAGAATTGTGGTTTGGATATATATGAATTTTAATGAAGACGTATTTAGTCTATTTTTTGATGCACCATTTATTTACAATATCTATAGGATACATGGATTATTTACAATATCTCTGTTATTTACAGTCACGTGATGCTATCCTGGACGGAACACACCCGGTAACTCTGGAGGAGGCCATCAGTCTGGCCGGGATCCAGGTCCACATACAGTTCGGGGACTACATAGAGAACAAACACAAACCCGGATTTCTAGAGTCAGTTATCTCCCTTTATTGTAGATTTCTAGATTCAATTATCTCCCTTTTATTCTGTCTATTAAAATTCTTGAAAAACAAATTTAGAGTAAATTTCTTGTTAAAATTATCATGAATATTCTGTTGGATGCAAGCTTACAGCAGAATTATGGTCAAGTTTTTATGGGAGTTAAAGTATGGCATTTATTTTGTTTCAGTGTAAAAGAATTTCTACCAAAAGAGTATGTCAAAACACCGAAAATTGAGAAGAGAATTTTTGCAGTAAGTATGCCATCTTTTAAATCTATGCCATCTTGGTAAAATTTATTTGATAATTTCAAGGCAACAAAGATTTAATTTTGAAATAATAATAATTAATACCACTTTTAAAAAATGTCATCAGTAATTCTAATGAATATGGTTTACTGTAAATTGATAGGAACACAAGAAATGGGTCGGTGTTCATGAATTTGAGGCCAAAGCCAAGTACACACAGAAATGTAGGGGGTTAAAGACGTACGGGATCACCTTCTTCTTAGTCAAGGTAAGTCATTACAAGTACACACAGAAATGTAGAGGGTTAAAGACGTACGGAATCACCTTCTTCTTAGTCAAGGTAAGACTTCACAGGTAAATCAAGGTAAGACAATGTCTCCACAGGTAAACTTTACAGGTAAATCAAGGTAAGACAATGTCTCCACAGGTAAACTTTACAAGTAAATCAAGGTGAGACAATGTCTCTACAGGTAAACTTTACTGGTTAATAAAGGCAAGGCACTATATTCACTGTGCTTAATGATAAAAAAAATAATCTTTGAATAAGGCTGATGGAATTTTCAGTCATCTTGCACTTTGTTGTTCCACTGAATGCCCTGGTCTTGTAATTTCAGGAGAAGATGCCCGGTAAAAATAAACTGGTTCCCCGCCTGCTTGGTATTACAAAGGAGAGTGTGGTGAGAATGGACGAAAAAACAAAAGAGGTAGGGAAAGTTCTTTAAATAGCTGGGGGATCCCCACTTTTAATGTGATTGGAGAATTTATCGTAACTGTTTTTTGTATGAATTGTGAAAGCTACAAGTAGATGTGAAAGGCTTTGTTCATAAAAGAAAGATTTGTTATAAGTAAGCAAAGATACAACTTATAAATCCATGAATTAGATAAATATTGCAATTATCTCTTTAAAAATGTGATGTATGCAAACTCTATTTCATTTTTCAGATTATGAAAACTTGGCCACTGACCACAGTCAAAAGATGGGCAGCTTCTCCTAACAGTTTTACATTGGTAAGGTCACTTCTTAGACTAAAGAATAGCCTACTTTATTATTACTGAAAAAATCAGCATAAGCTGCAGAACACATAAGGAAAAGGGAGGGGGGGTAAGCCCTGGCAGTTACCATCTTCTCTACATGTCAGTTTTTAATTCATCCAGCAAACTAAACTCTATACATGGCTCTTCTTTATAAGTGTGTTTTAGTTTACACAAGTGTGTAAGTTTGAATGTTCAATATAAGCCTATTATGTGTAGGACTTCAAAGATTATTTAGACTCGTACTACTTGGTATAATTGATACGTGTATGTATTATTTTATTTGTAATATAATACTTCTGTATTGTAGGACTTTGGGGATTACTCTGACTCGTACTACTCAGTACAGACTCAGGAAGGAGAGCAGATCTCACGACTGATCGCGGGCTACATCGACATTATACTCAAACGGGTAAGGCTCACAGCTAGTACAGTTATTTGTTTCTGATGAATTTTTAGATAAATTTTTTTTATTTATTGAGAAAAAAAAAAATGCATCGTGAACTTAAACATGAAATTTTTTAAATCATTGGAAAGAAAATAAACATGTATATGTTATTGACTTCGTCTTGTAATTCATGATTCTTCTGATGATGTATTGCTTATGTTGTTTCAATGAAATATGAACTTTTTTTGTAGGGGGTAAATAAAACAAGAAAATTAAACAAATTGAACAGAATTTCAGATAGCCTGTGCATCTACTTTTTCTTACCAACAAAGATTTGTGTATTAGAGAATAGTTGTTCAAAATTATCAATCAATAAATTAAAAGAATTTAAAAAACCAATATGCAATAAGTAAATGCATTGATGTTGATGTGAAATTCTGTCAAAGGTTTGATCTCTTTTTAAATAATTATCCTCTGCATGGCTGAACAATACAATACAAATATCTATAATTGAACAATTTCTTTCAGAAGTAGCATGTACAATGACAGGAGTTGTCTTTTCCTGACCTCCTGATTATCTCCCTTGACAAATGATGCTCTGAGAACATATCATTATCATCATAAATTTGGAATGACCTTCTGAGACATTTATCATGTTTATTATAAAACTTCATGTTACTAACAAATTGAATGATATTTAGCATGAGAGATTTCTCTTACAGAAACACAACAAAAACTTGGACTTTTCCATCATGGCTGCCTTGTATTCAGCTATCTTTATCAGCTTCTGGTTTTCACTGTTATATACAGTAAAAACTTTGTGAATGTACTGTAAACATTAAACTTTCTGTCACTTTATACTATTATAGAGTCATATTGCACATTCTTTTTCCAGTATATCAGAAGATTATGCAGCTTACTTGATCAATGAATGGAATGCTGATGGCTGATTGGTCATCTCCATGTATGACCTTTTGACCTTTACTGCTCTCTATCTTTAAGATCTACACATATACCTCTTTTTCTGAGTTATGAGCCTGAATTAAAGTTTTCATACAAACAACAGATTACTGAATGAAAAAAAAAGATATCAAAACAAAGAAATTTAATTTTTGGAAAAATTTTGGTAATGAAATTAAAAATAATTTTAAAATCACTTCTTTTCGAGGAAAATATAAAGAAAAGAAAAAGAGATTATTTATTCAAATTTAAGTATAAATGCAGTCTTTTCCTATGCATATCTTCATAAAATCAATCTTCAAATTAAATGGAGAGGAGACAAAAATAACATTGAACAAAAAAATGATAGGAAAAGAGTGCATTTACTAATTAATGAGGATGGATCTAGAATGTATATTGGCAATCTTTTGTAAATATAAAGAAAAAGGGAAATCTTTAGGGGGGGGGGGGGGGTAACCAAATTAATTGTTATTTCAAAATAAATTAGATCCACCCTCACAATTCATGCATTAATGAACTTCCTGTTTGGCTAGGATAAAGATGACCACCTTGGAATTGAAGCTGAGGACGACACGGCCATGTTTGAGGATAATGTCTCTAAGGGAAAGTAAGTGATGGGCGGGGCTAAAGTCATGTGACTTCATCTAGGTTTATTTCTTGTTTGATCCTAGAAAAAAGATAAGGATCACCTGGGAATCGAGGGGTCTGACGAAGCTCCAATGTACGAAGATAGTGTGTCGCCAGCAAAGTAAGTCATCCGTGAAATGTCGCCAGCAAAGTAAGTCATCCGTGAAATGTCGCCAGCAAAGTAAGTCATCCGTAAAGTGTGTCACCCACAAAGTAAGTCAGCGGTGAAATGTCACCGACAAAGTAATTCATTCGTGAAGTGTGTCACCACAAAGTGAGTCATCTGTAAAGTGTGTCACCACCAAAGTAAGTCAGCCGTAAAGTGTGTCGCCAGCAAAGTAAGTCAGCCGTAAAGTGTGTCACCTACAAAGTAAGTCGTGTTTCAAACACAAAGTGTGTATCAAACGTCAAATTTATCACCTGCAAGGTATGTGTATCACCCACAGAGGAAGTATTTCACCCAGAAAATACACTTAATGTGTTACTAATAGAGATAGTATGTCACAAGTTAGTCATAAAGTGTGTCTCCTACAAAGTAAATGTTTCACCAACTAAACTTATCATTAGCAAAGAGATTGTCAGCTAAGAAAGTTATTGCAGAAGTAATTGTGTATCCAGATAAATGCTTTACCTGCAATTCAATATTTACTTTTATTTCAATCAGATAAATGCTTTACCTGCAATATTCGGCCCCATTCCCAATGCAAAAAAGGTACCTTTTTTGATTTAAAATTTCCCAATTTCCATAAAAAATATTAATAAAAGTCCACGAAACTTAATCGCAAGGTGAAACTGAAATATTTTATGAAATTATATATGAAAGTCATTCTGTGTTCAGTCTCGCGCTGTATTGGTAACCAAAAATTTGACTGTCAGAGAAATCAACACTGAAATATTATATCATGACAAAGCTAATGTACTTTTAAATTGCCTACATACCCATGTTTGTTCTGTTTATGTTAAATTGATGACAAAATGCTAGAAAAGCAAAACTTGAGGAGTTTTTAAAATGAATTTTAGTTATCCAACTTTTCCAAAAATGACAATAATTTTCCCAATTTGAACGGCCCCGGCCCCAGTCCCAAAAAACGGTGTGAGAGCCCTGTCAATAATTTGATAAAATCACTCGAATCAAGGTGTAGAAATATGAAATTATATAGAAAGTTTCTGTTTCATAAAATTTGACAGAGAAAATGAGATATTATATCCTGCAGATGAATTTTGTTCCCATGGATGTTTGTGTTTGCAGGGCGACCATTATTTCGCGGATGCAGGGTAATGTGAGTCACCCAGACGTGGCGTCAGTGGCTATGCCGGGGGTGATGAGGGGCGGAGTGTCGGGGGAGACACAGATCAGTATGGGCTCCATGTCATCAGCCCAACACGGACAGGTCTCAAACGAAATGCATATGGTGCATGGCAACAGACAGGTGTGCCTACTAACTGTTCCTAGACTTATTGACAACCCCCAGTCATTGTGAATTGTAGCATTTTTATGGCTTACGTCCATATAGTTCTCGGTATCTTTACGGCAAAGAGTTCACTATGTCTTCTAGTAAACATGAGCAAGAGAAAATAGTTCTTGTCTTTTCTTCAATTCTATTCAACTTTTGTTTTGATTTACTTAAATTTTTTTTTCTCTCTCTCTCTCTCTCTTACGTTTTACTATCAAACGCTTTTAAAACATTGAATAGGTAAACTCTAGTTTCCACTCTTGTTACGAAAGTAAGTTTACTTTTTGAATTTCAAGTGACCATATATAAGCATTAATTGTGACAGACTTCACAGAAGGTCATTTTGTGAGCTCAGTGCTCACAGAACATGTATCTCTAGTTTTCAGAAAATAGTAACTTTTTTGAAGGTAGGGGTTATTGGATAATTATCACATGTATAACAGACATAACATTCTTCAACTTAAATAAATATGATAACATAAGCATAGATTAATTACCAAGTCCATGTCCAAAGGTAAGATAAAATAAGCATGACAGTGTTTAGATTGAAATGTGTGTTACTTGAATGTCAGAAAACAAGATATAAATAGCTTGAGAAAAACTAACATGACTTTGATAATATGTTACACATAACCAGTGTATCACACACATGCAGTGAAAAAAAAATCTCCAATAAGAATGACCAAGCCAGAATTAAGTAGAATTCTTAGATGCTTGTTTGATTTTCTGTTTTATTCTGACATTTTTTTTTTTTTTTTTTTTTTTTTTATTTAAGTTCATTCATTTTTAGGTTTTTGTAGTGAATGGTGATTATGAATTAGTTCTGGATGACCTTAGTTATTTGTGTTTGCACTGGATATACTCTGTCTGTCACACAATTTGACCCTATGTTACCCTCTTGTATTTCTTCAGTTTTGGTTTTTGCTTCATAAAAAAACATTTGTTTGGACGTCTCAGTATCTTACTAAAGAGCAAGAATATGATAAATCTTTGTGTTCAGCAACTGTTACAAATATTTTGTATAATTTCAAAATTCCCCTTTCCCCCAAAAAATGCTTTGATCTACTTTTATTTTCCAATTTTTAATTAAACAGTAAATAAGGCCATAATAAAAATATTCGTATAATACCCCGCCTCGATTTTTTTTATTTCAAAATTCCCCTTCTACTTTCGTTTTACGTTCCGCGAAAAAAAATGCTTTGATATATCTAAAAAGATTGGTGATGATGTGAAGTAAAAGACTTTTTCTATTTTTATTTGGGTATTGTAGATAAAATTACCAATTCAAATCTAAAATTAAAAAGTATAATAATGCAAAAAAATTCGCTAGCAATTTATTTATTGTGGCCTAATGCATGCTGAGAAGAAATCAAAATTTGATTTCATATTTAGTTTGAAACTCTTTTGCAAAATAAAACCTTGTATATGTGAGGAGGGAGCTAACTTTTTTTTCTGTATGTAGAGCCAGAACATCCAGGAGTATGGGTTGTCCCAGTCCCAGAGGGCGCTGTTAACATGTATAGAGGAGGGAATCACCTCCATACGACAAGCCGAGTCACAGATGGACAAGGGGGCAGCACTACCCAACCTCGGAAACGACGCAGTGAGTATAATATATGATCTGTATATCAACTGTAGTTAGGGGTAGCACTCCCCCAATCTCAGAAATGGTGATGTGAGTTAAATATTAAATAAATAATATATGAGCTCTTATTGAGCTGCCCATCATACAAAATAATGCTTTGAGTAAGATGGTCTGTGAAAATCTCCATATTTTATACCATTAGCCTGAAAAACAGCATGACCCCAATGTTAAACTTTACATTGCAGGCTTCTAAGAAGTGGAGACAGAACATGTTGGATTTGTCCAGACAGAAGGTCGGGGCCCAGCTGTCGGCGATGAACGCCGCCACCGCTCAGCTGGTTACCATGTCAATAGACGACGAGATTGACACCAGTCGTGTCGGGGCCGCAGTAGCTCAGATGTAAGTTAGCAGTCAGTGAAAAAATTAAGGAGGGATGACCCTCATTCAATATAATTTTTTTACCTCCTGGCAAAGAAGAGTTGATGACATCCTACCTACATACAGTATGGAATCACATGCAAATGAATAACTTAAGCTGGATTCAATAAATATTTACAGTACCAAAATCATATTTTACGAGTAAGTTTTCAGTAATAAGTTGTAAGATAATCACATGTATCAACTTTTAAGCACTCAGGCTACCTCAAAATTGTTTCAAAAGGGTCTAAGGCTATGCATATAATATATATCTTCCACTTCATCAACAGAACCTCCAACATTGATGACTTCTCCCAGGATGTGCGGATGCTGGGAGCTTTACAGGATGATGACGAGAGTAGAAACAAACTGCTGGGGGCCGCCAAACGTCTGTGTGGGGCCTTCTCTGATCTCCTGAGTGCTGCAGAACCAGGGCAGAAGGAGGTAAGTGTAATAATATTAATTCAGTTAAACTCTTCTCAGGGATTTCGTTATGTTTGAGTACACCATGCACTTGTACTCTTATTTATCTGTAAGAAAATATAACACTGTCTTATTCTGGCATAAAAATGATGAATTCAAATTAACCCCCTTAAAATTTTCACGTACATGTAAAACGTGTGTATTTTACAGAGTAAATCTAACCTAATATCGGCTGCTAAGACAGTGGGTGAGGCTTCACAGGAAGTGATGCAAGGAATCGGGGAGACGGCCGACGACATGGACAAGATGTATCAGGTACGACATTCATGTGGTGCACTGATATAATATATATACATTGTATACAGTAAAACTAGGTTATAACGAAGTCACTGGGACCTAGGAAATTATTTTGCTATATCCGTATGTTAATATATATATATATATATACCGTAAATTCACAATATCCGGGTACCATTACAGGGTACCATTATTATACTCTGTACAGGATGATACTTTCGCCCCTCCACAGTTTTAAACAATCTTGAACTGTTTGAAATTCACACAGTCACAGTTCTTTTAAAGAAATTTTACTGTCTTCTTTGAATTCACACCATCTTTATTTCATCCAATTGTGTTAAGGATGGAAGGGGAAAAAATAAAATGTGGGCAAAAATTTCCATTTTTTCAGTAGCAACAAAATTTAGTGAAGAACTTGAAATGGTAAATTCTTCGTTGAAAACTTCTGGATAGTTATTGTTCAGGATCTGTTGGATTGATTTCTCCCTTTATGATCATTTTTTGTTTTCATACACTTTCAGGAAACCTTGCTTGCCCTGGCTAAGGCAGTGGCTAACGCTACAGCCCAGCTTGTCCTGAAAGCCAAGAATGTCGCCAGCACAACAGAAGACCAGGGGCTTCAGAACAAAGTTATCAGCTCAGCTACAAGCTGTGCTCTGGCTACCTCCCAGCTTGTAGCTTGTACTAAGGTAAGATGTTCTGTATATTACAAGCTGTAAATTTCAAATGTATGAATTTTGGAATTTGTTAGCAAGTTTTATGTAAAAGAAGGAAAAAAGAACACAAAAAAGTATTAAAAATAAAGCATAAAAATACAGAAAACATTTGGAAAATATATTCAATACAGTGTAAAACTATAATACAGTTATAAGAGGAGTTGCTTCATTAAACATTTTTAAAGTTCAATGCTGATAGACCATTTCTTTCATTTGATTGGTTAATATTTCACTGATGCTGTCATTTGATTGGTTAATATTTGGCTAATTCTGTTATTTTATTGGTTGATTTATCAGGTGGTTGCCCCCACTATAAGCAGCCCTGCCTGTCAGGAGCAGTTGATAGAGGCGGCTAAGGGCGTGGCCCACTCTGTGGAGGGTATCGTAGAGGCTGCCCAGCAGTCATGTCGGGATGATAAACTCCTGGCGGACCTCGGAGGGGCCGCTACGGCAGTGACCCAGGCCCTGAATGACCTACTACAGCACATCAAGAAAGGGGCAGGACCCACCACTGTAAGTCAGGCAGAATCAAGAGTAGGTGTGAAAGGAAAATATCAAAGATGTTAATACAATTTTGAGCACTTTTATAGACAAACACAATTCAAAGCATCCAGCTCTATATTAATTTATGTGAAATTTAAAAAAAAAAAAAAAAAATTTAAATGCTTGCTCATTTATGTGAATTAAAAAAAAAAAATTTCATTTATTATTGAAATAAAAATTTAAGACTGAGGTCTTGGAAGCATTGAATTCAGTAGATGCTTGTATTTTAAGTGGGTGTTTGTACTTTTGCAGGCAGGGGAAGGTCATGAGGATGCAGTGGACACGATACTGACCGTGACTGACCGACTGTTCAGTAGTGTAGGGGACGCTCATGAGATGGTCAGGCAGGCCAGGCACCTGGCTCAGGTAAGCACTAAATTGTAATAGTATTCAACAGACAAAAAACATAGACAACAAATGGCAATAATATTTAATGCATTTAAAATAGTAGACAACTGGCCCAGCTAACAAATATCTATAGTATTCAACTCACACAAAAATTGTGTATTCCTATAACCCAGCAGTGTAACTGATCTATGTATGCTTTCAGGCCACGTCGTCGTTGGTCGGGGCCATTAGGAGTGTATTCCTATAACTCTGATTATAACTGACCTATGTATATATTATAAATGACTTGTGTATACTTTCAGGCCACGTCGTCGTTGGTCGGGGCCATTAGGAGTGAAGCGGAGGGACACTCGGACTCAGACATGCAGAAACGACTCTTGGCTGCTGCGCGACAACTGGCTGATGCCACCGCCAACATGGTGGAGGCTGCCAAGGTTTGTATATATATCCTGTGATTACAGAGTTAGACCTACAGTTACAATGTGTGATTACAGATGTAGATTTTGTACAATAGGTAGATATTTAGTGACACTTGTAGGTAGTTGTTGCACACTATATACATGAAATACCATGATAGTTTTCATTATCGAATATTTTAAAGCTGATAATTTTACACAAAGTTATTACTGAGCATTTACATTTGCAAATGTTTTCCTTTATATAACATTTGAAAGCAATGCATAAACTGTATTCGTACTCAAGAGGTCATAGTTCAATAAACGTTTGATAATTTCTCAGTGACGTTAATAATACGCGCGTTCTGGATATAAGCTGATAATACATTACACGAAAAGTCACAATCAGGCAGATATGAATAAGTCACAAATGTAAATATAAGTAATAAGGTATTGGGCTTTATGGAATTTAATCTTGTAACCAACCCATATTTATATCCATATAATGTGTGATTTTAGAGAGATTTTCTTCCCCGTTTTCCTAATATAATTTGTCTGACATTTTTAAGATTGTAATACTTCAACTTAACTTTAGTGTAAATTTAATGTAATGTAAACAGTGTGTTAAATGACTGTCAGAGAGAAATAATAGAATACTTGGATGTCTTTCAGGGTTGTGCCTCCAGCCCTAATGATTCTGATAAACAAGGCAGACTACGCAGTGCCGCAGAAGATCTACGGGCAGCTACAAACATCGCAGCTAGTAATGCCCTCAAAAAGAAACTCATCAGGAGGCTAGAGGTAAGTACTTCACAGAAGTTAGAACACCAGATTATTATTACACTTCATATTCATGAGAAAGTCGTATTCTTTAGAAGTGAGAGAAAAAGTTCCCTGTAAGCAGTATTTTTAATCATGTAAACTTAATGCTTCTTAAAATATTTTCTGATTTACTCACCATTCAAATACTTCAATGTAATCTTATTTTGTAGAACGCAGCTCGACGCACTGCCTCAGCGACCACACAACTCATCAACGCTTCAAAGAACGCAAACAAATCTAACACTAATACTTCTTCTGAACACCAGCTAACACAACAGTGTCAGGTATATAAACTTCTTTAGAAGAAACTATACCTTAACATTCTAGTGGATTGAATTTCAGAATGACCTTTCATTTATTTAAACTGTCTTCAAAATAACTGTAGAATACATGCTCATACTGAAAGAAAACTGATTTATTCATGCAGAAATTAGAATCATGGGAAAAATTTTATTTTGCTTAAGGCAAAATCTTAAGAATTGTATTTTTCTTTCAGATAATGAGTGAACAATTGCCTCTGTTGATTCAAGGCTTCCGTAGATCTGAGACCAACCAGGACAGCGCTACAGCTCAGCTACAGCTAATTAACGCTAGCAAGGAATTCATACAGGTAAATAGTGCTACCGCTTAGCTACAGCTAATTAATGCTAGCAAGGAATTCATACAGGTAAATAGTGCTACAGCTCAGCTACAGCTAATTAATGCTAGCAAGGAATTCATACAGGTAAATAGTGCTACAGCTACAGCTAATTAATGCTAGCAAGGAATTATACAGGTAAATAGTGTTACAGCAAAGGTACGGCTAATTAATGCTAGCAGAGAAATCATATAGGTAAAACTTAAAATTAGCTACAGCACAGCTACAGCTAATAAGTGCTAGCAAGGAATTCATACAGGTAAATACTGTATACAAGGAATTTTTTGCCCCTGTTTTATTTTCGCCCCTTCGCCTTACCCTGATTTGGGCAAATGCTTATTTGAAACGGTACAAAATTGTTTGTAAGTGTGAAAGGGCAAAAATGACTTCGGGCGAAAATAACCCTGTATAGAGTACTGCTACAACACAACTACAGCTAATGCTAGCAAGGAATTCATACAGGTAAATACTGCTACAGCAAAGGTACAGCTAATTAACACTAGCAAGGAAATCATACAGATATAATACTGTTAAAAATTATCTACATCTAGTAAACACTATCACAGAATTCAATATGGTGAATTATGGGGAAAATTGACTACAGCTAATCAATGCTAGGGAATGAAACTGCTAAAGTTTACCTACATATAAATCTAGTTGTAACTAGCAAGAAATTGATACAGGTAAATGGTGCTAAAGGATAAGAATTGTAAAAAAAACATATCGAAGAATTCAATATGATTGAGCAACAAACATTTGAAAGAAATATTTTAATATTATATGAATGGAAAAATTTGTGAATAAGTTTTTGAAGAAAACATCTACTCTCTGTCTTATACATGCCTAAACAGAGTTGTTTGTATTTTTACAGCCTGCTAGTCAGCTGGTGTCTGCTGCTAACGCTGCCGCCCCTACTGTGGGTGACCAATCGGCCGGTATAAACCTGAACCAGGCGGTGAAGACAATGACCACCGCGCTGGCCGAGCTGAGATCAGCCTCGGGTAAAGCCGAGGAGATGTGTATTTCTCTTGAGGTGGACGCCGCACTGGACCAGCTCAACGGACTGGACAAGGACCTGGAGGAGTATCGGCGTGCCGTGGACAGCGGGAATCTGGTGCCACTTCCTGGAGATACAGTAAGTAGGGCATAGGGTCAGGGTTGAAGTCAATAATATCAGGATATAAAATTTAGGTTCTGAATTGTATTGACCTATTTTTCTGGATTCATTATTTATATTCAGTAATATGGAATGGTTAAATATAAAATAATTTTTGTGGAATTCTCATTAGATAAAAGTTCAAGAGTTAATTGATTTTATTTTAGGCTGAGTCTTCTGCTTCAAAACTTGGATCCACCTCGAAGAATGTTGGATCAGCAATGGCCCAACTCCTGACAGCAGCTTCACAGGTAAACCAAGACATAACAACAAAGTATTATTACTGAATCATTGATACTTCACAATTCCACCATGTTGTCTGTTCCATATTCCTGTTTAATTATAATGTGACCTATGTACACAGGGTAATGAGAACTATGTAGGAGTGGCAGCCAGAGACACTGCCAATGCTCTCCGAGTTCTGACAGAATCTACACGTGGTGTGGCGGCGACTTCAGAGGACATCGAGGTCAAACGTCAGGTCATCGACAGCGCAAGGGAAGTCATCAACAAATCTACACGGCTTCTGGAGGAAACCAAGCGAGCCATGAACGACCCAGACAATCCCGAGAACCAGAGCCGACTGAACCAGGTGGCAAAGGCGGTGTCTGCAGCACTCAATAACTGTGTGAATGCACTGCCGGGACAGAGGGATGTAGACAATACCATCAGACAGATCACCAGCTCTAGTCAGGAACTAGCCACCACTCAGGTTAGACAAATTATTACAGTCAGGTAGTTGTAAGACAAATATCTACATTATCGAGGTCAGATCATCCCCCCCACCACCACTCAGGTAAGACTATCTTCAGTCAAGAGCTTGCTGCTACACAGGTAAGACAAAGAGCTACATAAATCATCAATCCATTTTAGTACCCCAGATAAATTATCCATTCCCCCTATGTATGACCCCTTTACATATTTAACATTTATTTCTACCTTTCCTTACCTTAGTACACTGATTTATAATTTTACCTTTCAGTACCCCAGTACAGACAGAACCTTCCAGGAGATTCAGATTGAGATCAACAACGCCGCTGTGAACCTGAACCAGGCGGCTAGTGACATAGTCACTGCGTCACGCGGCACACCCAAACAACTCGCCGAGTCCTCTCAAGTCTATGGGTCATCGTACTCCGAGTTCATCAAGTCAGGACTCACCATGGCAGGTTTGTGTAGAGTTTACTTATTTTCAGAATAAAGATGGTGTAATATGGCAAAATATATGGGTTGCAGATGTGGATCATTAGAAGTCAGTTGTATTTGATTTACAAGTTAGTTAAATGTTGGCATTTAAAAGTAGATTATTATGCTGTGAAAATATTGATTGGAAATAGGCATGCATTTATTTGCAGGGAAAACAATTGTTTCAAGTTTTGAATTATTGTTTTATGTAAGATATGTTTTGATTGGTTGATTCACTTAAAAAGATGATTGTGATTGGTTGATTTCCAGGTTTGTCTAAGGATGTGGACACACAGAACCAGATAGTTGGAGGTCTGAAGAACGTTTCTATGGTGTCCAGTAAACTCTTGCTGGCTGCCAAATCTGTGTCAGCTGATCCAAACGCTCCCAACACCAAGAATCTGCTATCACAGGCCGCCAGGTAGGGCATCAGTATAGGAACTGTTTGTTTTAGATTACAACTCAATGTCAGTCATTTTGGGTCAAATAAGGAAAATGTAAGTGACATTTGAATACAGTGTACATTCAGGGTTGTCCCTAACAATTGAAAATAGCAGAGGATATGAAAAATTGTATTAGGGGGTCTGGGATTCTCCCCCTGACAGGGAGTTGAGGAGGAATGCTGGAATAATTTTGGGATCATTTAATTATAGCAGAGCTGCCAACCCTTACGATTTTGGCGTAAGGCGTACGAAATCAGCGTCTAAAATACGCCTAACGATTTCTGTCTATATTCTTCCGATTTCAGTTTTTCTTGTGTTTATAATACCGTATTTTCATAGCTGGCAGCCTATATAGTTTCTACTATTATAATATATTCATAATTTTTACAACGCTCGCTTGTATCATCGTTTCGGTTTTAGAAGAGATCACATTCATGTCAATGTTTGTAAAGTAAACAAAATGGAAACATGCCTCAGATTACATGTCCATTTACAAAACATCTTCAGCGGCAGGGGGCCTAGGTGGTCCCTAGACCCCGCCTTACTATTTGTCATTTCAGAATGTTGGCAGCTCTGTTATAGGCAAGGAAATTTACCATCCTCTGGGTGGTAGGGACAACTCTGAATTTAAAGTTCCTGATTTTGTATGATAAGTGAGTTCATCTAAATACTGTGTAATGCAGGTTGTTATCTTTCAATTGTCATGGAGTATTGATGATTCAAGTATCAATTATGTAATGCTTTATTTCCAGGGCTGTCACAGAGAGCATTAACCAGTTAATCAATGTGTGTACGGTATCAGCACCAGGGCAGAAAGAATGTGATAATGCCCTCCGACAGATACAGGTCAGTGTACCAGGGCAGATATTGTTATACATGACAAGTTATTTTCCCTTGAAAAAAAACATTGATTTAATGTAAACTCATATGATTCTGTTGTTTAAATATATGACCCTTTTCCTTTTTGCTGTGGATGATGAAGTCAATCTTTACATATATTGACCCCCTTTTTTGTATCTGTAGATGATGAAGTCGATGTTGGAGAGTGCCAATGAACCGGTGACAGACATGTCGTATTTCGAATGCCTCGACTCCGTCATGGAGAAATCCAAGGTAACATCAGAAAATATAACATTAGAATGCTTGATCTAATGGTTTGGTAGATTGTCCCAGAGTAAATATGATAAATACACTGTTTTGAATTCCCAAAGGAATTGCTTGTAGAATGGCGACCATCATGTAGAGAGTATACAAACATTATGTTTTGGAACATCTTCTTGTGTTAGAAATATCTGCTGTTTGCTTGTGTTGTGTTTTCATATTCTGATAACAAGATATAAGTTAAAACTGATATAACTACTTATGAATGCCAGAATATAATGCAATTTGTATACAAGTATTTGAATGCTACAAGTCTACATTCATAATATGAATATTTATCACTCATCAAATATTGACACATTGTTGGTACATGTATATATTTTGTTTAAATGTAATCATCTGATTGCTTGATTGTTTGAATTTTTGAATGCTATCATCTGATTGGCTTAATGTTTGAAATTTTGAATGCTATCATCTGATTGGATGATTGTGTGTGGATTTTATCACAGGGCCAAGTCTGGGTAAATTTCACCTTTAACCTTTTCTCTCTCTATGTTGTACCCAGAAGCTTTTTAACAGACTAGCTCAATGCACCAGGTCACTTTTGTCACAATGAAGGAATGGCACCTCAAAATTTTCACCATTGAATTACAAATTAATTCATAATTTAACCTTTTATTAATAGAAGTGAAGTCACCTACACATGTTCTTGGGAATCTATTTTAGTCTTGAGAAATAAATGTCCTGTTGATCTATAAATAGTTGAGCTTGTCTGTCGTTTTCAGCAAAGCCACTTTTTCCAAGTCCAAGCATGGAATGGGGAAAGGGGGATCCTTTATATTTCTTATGACGTGTAAATATTATACAGATTGATTTCTTTTTCTCCTCAGCATTCATGTTATGTTAAATCTATGGGTCTGTCCAGGCCTCTTCTCCTGATGGATTCTAAACCAGAATTTTGTATTTCAGACAAGGAAAAAAATCTGACTTCACTATGAAGTTTTTAGAGAAAGAATCACATTTACTTCACAGTAAAGCTTAATTATAAAAAAATCTTTGCCAATGTATAAACAGAAAGTTGCCTTTTTAGTGAGATAATTGGCATAAATTTATTTGGTTAAGAGGAATATCTTTCTGAACAAATAATCAGACTGCAGAATTATAATTATTCAAGTCAGACATATCAATCATCCATTAGTAATCTTCTTTTCAAATCAGATAGAATTTAGTTATTCATTTTTTAGTCTTGAAAAAATATTTTCTTGTGTAATTTCATGTAGATTTATTTCTTTTAAAATATTTTTACAGTACTGTAGATATTGCATGCCATATGTTGTTTAAGTGGATGAATGGGAAATGTATAATAACTTTGTTAGTAATAGGAGGAATAGGGCAGGGAACACTACTTTAGGGTTGAGGATTTACACACTTAGTGCACATAACATAAGGTCACACCACGTGTGAGGATATGGATAAACTTACCGTATTAAAATAAATTCTGATTATGTTTGTGCTTATTTGAATAAAGATTTTGTTTGTTTGTTTAGAATGTATGTAAATGTTAGGCCATATAAAATTGAAATCTTGGTTCTCAGGCCCGCGCGCATCCGTTTTGAGGTAGCCGCATTGCCGATTTTATTGTATTTTTGATAAAATAAAAAGTTGGTATCGCGGAGACCAATCCGGGAAAAAAATTTCCGACCTCATTTGTTTCGTAGTTTAGTATTCAAATGTCACTTCCGGTAGCCATTTTACAATGAGATTTTGGCTACTTCGTTTGAAAATACATTCGAGGACATTACCTACGATGTTTACACGCTGTTAAGTAATGGATAAAGCAGAAATTTTGACCAGAAATGGAAAGTATATCTGTGATTAAAATAATTATCTTTATATTAAAGAAAATTCGGAAATTAAAATTTAAAAAAATACCTCCCTCATCTACTTTATAGCCAATAAAATGAAAAATAAAATGCCGCCCTCTCGCATCTGTTTTGGAGAAAATTGGCCTGAGAACCAGGGAATTAAATTTAGATAGCCTTAGCTGTGTTTGTTTATCTTCCCCTGTAGTTTTCCCCTGCCCTTCAGGATTCTGTGTTGTGTTTTGTGTCAGTGACACTGCCCTAGTTAACCTATGTCTTGGTGCAATGGTAGTTTTTGTTCCCATTTCCTTTGCATGAAATCACCCAAATCACATTCCATGGCCCAAATCACTTGATTGTGTAGAAAATCATTGCTTACAAGATAAACGGTAAAATGGAATAACATCAACAGAATTTGTACATGGAATAGTTACTCTTTTGATTCACATTTCATATAACTAACCAGCTTTTTAATGCTTAAGATAATATATTATCGACCTATGCTATACATGTAATGATGGTCTGTGCTCTATTCTGTATAATGTAATGACTAAGGATTAGACATCTATCTCTGTTTTACAGCTGCTAGGAGATTCTATGACTGGCATTACAAACCACGCAAAGAAAGGAGACCTGGAGAATTTCTGTGATTCAGTGGGGAACTTCTCAACATCTGTCTGTGGACTTACAGAGGCTGCCTCACAAGTAAGGGAAGATTTCAAAAGTGCTCCCAATATAAAGTCACTTCTACTTAGCTGAAATTTCTTCAATCCAGTTGTCCGTAGTTCTTTGAAATTGATATGGAACTTTTTATTGGGAGGGTGCAACATTTGACAGTTTAACACAAATATTTTGCTTTCAAAGGTGTCATTTTTAACTGCAGATTTAGAGATGATAAAATTAGATCAATAAATATGCCCATTCCTTTTGGCTTTATTTCCGTGCTTTGAATACAATAAATATGCCCATTTATTTTGGCTTTATTTCCGTGCTTTGAATACAATAAATATGCCCATTTCTATCCCCCCTGTAGGCAGCATATCTGGTGGGCATTGCAGATGGAGCCTCGGAGCCCGGTCAGCCCGGGCTCGTGGACCAATCTCAGTTTGCACGTGCTAACCAGGCCATACAGATGGCATGTCAGAATCTGATCAACCCGGCCAGCTCCCAACAACAGGTGAGTTATACTGAGTTAGTCAGCACACGTACAGGTGTGACTTGCTTTACAGTTAATGACTGGCTGTACATTAAGTGACTCCAGACTTCAAAGCCTCATACTTATAGTCAGCTACAAGCACCAGGGTGTGTACTAATGTAGTAGCATTATCTTGTTGTAAATAAATTTGGAGATGTGAAAAAAAAGTTTCTAGAATTTTAATTTGAGAGTTTTGTTGGAAATTACTAAATTTACAGCATGGACTGATAAAAAACTGTTGTTTCATTAATATCCTGATTTTTTATAACCTGCCAAGAAATTCTAAAAGTTGTACAATTAACAAAAATAAAGTAATAAACAATTGTTTTAAAGATTTTGAAATTAGAATTTTTTTCTGTAGCAAGTTACCTTTGCTTACTGCAGAATATGAAGAAAAAAAAACAAGCTGTAGCTCCATTTTGCTTTTGAGACAGATAGTGTTAATGGCTTTAGATAGACAATATCAAACAAATATATGGAAGCTTTGATCTAGATTCTTTTGTATACTTAATAAAACACCATACTTGTATTGTCTAACACTATCAAAGCTTAAGTAACTGCCACCATAACTTTATAAGCCAGGTTTTTTGAACCCAGCTAAGCCTATCGCTTTACACTCACAGTTTTAATTTAAAATTTTAACAGAACAATGTAATAAATGTTCATTAAAAGTACAAGTATATAATTAGAATATGATTTTATTTTGTTAATTGGAGAATTTTATTTTCATTACACCACGTCACAATGGAATTCATGGAATTCTTATCTTTGTTTAGTATTACCAACTGGATAGCTGTAGGTCAATGGTAGGTGACCTTTCACCCCCCCAGGCTGACCCCTGGGGTCATCTATGCCTGTGCATTGTGACCTTTAGTTTCAGTTTGTGTGTACTTGTCTTTAATTCGTTTACACAGAGCTATACCACAATGTTGTGACGTCGGCCTGCCTTCAATGTCATTAAAAAAAAAGGTTTATTTTTGAGTTTTGTTTTGTGCAGGAACTCATTTTTGGGGACTATTTCCCTATATGTACTTTTTGATTTTTGTCCAGAACCCATAATTAATTGAGAGTCTTTACTTGCTAAAATTTCCATTTGAGTTTTTCCACTCAAATAATGATCAAGGTTATATATTGTCATTAAACAAAATTTTCTTTGGTTATAACAGCTCCTTTTGTATGATAGAAAGAAGATAAAATATATACATGGTTATTCCCTGCAAAGCAATTATTTAAATATTATTCTTTTGGTTATATTTGTTCATAAATCAATATTTCCAATTCATAGTGTCTTTGTTCTCATTTTGTTTCATCTTTTTGAGGAATAATCATCTTGAAGTTATATCTGTAAAACTTAATCATGAATATTTATCTTCCGACTTTTATTGACTGTAACATAATTTTATACTTGAATATTCATCAATTCAGTTCCTACTTTTTTGTATTGATGAAATAATATTGTTGTGATTTGTTTGTTCATGATTATGCAAATTTTTTAATATTCTTTATCTGGTTACTAGATAGAAATTTCAGAGCTCACTTTATGTTAAATGATAGATATTTACTATAAATATAGAAAGTTTGAATATCCGTCACCCAAGTGTATGCCTTGAGACATATATATGATAGAATTTTTATTTAAATATATATCATAGAAGATATTATAGAATTTATATTGAATATTACCTCAGTGTAACTATATATTATTCTTTATTTTCTTTTACATCCTACGGTTTCCAGAGAAGGTCTCTGCATGATGTAAGCTATCACCACGTAAATGTATATTTCCCAGAATTCTCTGTTAACTTCCTGTCAGTATTACGTGTAGAGATATATACGCTTCTCTGTAGAGAAATTTGTATGAATGGTAACCATGGTAACAGTGTCATTACTGAGAGCCAAATTTTTCTGGAGAAAAAAATAATTTGCTGCAGTCGCCTGTCTGGCTTAGAAAGAGGAAATGTTGTGTTTGTTGCTTAGCGATGGTTACCATGGTAGACAATGTCTGTTTGTCTGTGTGTACAGAAGTAGGACCTATATCAACTTTGTATCTGTAGAAACCTATAAACAAGGCTATTTATGTACTGTGTATCATTATACTGTAAACCATCTCTCATTTAGTACTAAGTGGATATAGCTAAAATTTTGGTGACTTCTCCAGTAAAATTACTAAATAGAATAAAACTTTAGGGGTACACTATTCTGTATCATATTACTTGTCTAATGAATTTGTTTTAAGAATTTTTTAGTAGCATTATCTTCATAGAAAAGGTTTTATCTTAATAAGTAACATAATATAATGGTTTGGGCTGTGGAAATTGGCCTTGGTAGCTCAGTCAGTAGAGCACCTGACTACTGATACAGGGTCTTGGGTTCAATACCCAGTCCAGCCATACATTGTCTCCTTTCTTTTTAGAATATGCTGATGTTTGAAGCTATTTAGAATGTACTAGATTATAAATAATACTTTTTATGTTGTTAGAGCACAGAATTACCTCACTCTTGTAGTTAAGAAATACAACTCACAATTCTAGCTAATAATATGAGGACAGATATGAAATATAAATTCCTGTACATAGGCATGTTACACATATTATTTCTAGATTTTCACATGTTGAAGAGATCTTATTAAGGAGACACTCACAATTTATCATCCGTAATAGTGTATCATATCATATCGTATGTAAACATGATAGCAAGAAACGGTCAATATCACAGAATTTTTGTTACTAACATGATATATATAACTGTATTGAGAGATATCTTGTATACAAAAGATAATACTATATATGGCAGAAAGTCAGAGTTAACATGTATCGCAATGTATCAGATCAGAGTTAACACATTGTATCGGAGTGTATCAGAGCAAATTAAACCTGTCTTGATTTTTGTATATATTAAACATCAGCCATATGTACTGTTTCAGTCTAAACAAGATGTTCTGCTATCCAAGTGCAATTAATTTTGTTATCAAGCCAATATGATTTACTATGATAGAATTTTAAAAGTAATTTTGATAAATCTTTTTTTTCAAAACAAATTATAACTTTTCTGCTTTGATAATGATATTTAACTGGACTAGACACTAACCTGGTTTTCAATTTCAAAAAATGCAGCTGTTGCTAAAATGCATCAAATAACAAGTAGCCTCCTATGAAAAGTTTTATATGAGTTTTGTACATTATTTTTTTCCTCCATTATAGGTGTTGTCGGCAGCGACAGTGGTTGCTAAGCACACATCCGCCCTGTGTAACGCCTGTCGCCTGGCCTCCAGTAAAACCTCTAACCCCGTCGCTAAGCGACACTTTGTTCAGAGTGCCAAGGACGTTGCTAACAGTACCGCCAACCTAGTCAAGGCCATCAAGGTCAGAGGTCACTTACTTCATAGGCATTTGATGGCTTTAATTCAAAGTGAAACATCCCATCATGTTAAAAATTAAACATAACTGTCCAATGTGTTTTTCTTTATTTCACTGTACAGAATTAGAGATCAGTTTTAGCAGAAAGCAATATTGTGTTTATAAACAAAATTTCTGGACCTTACAAAAACTGAAAGTTTTGATTTATATGTGACATTTTTATCAATAATTTTTTGAAGTTGTTAATTTAGCCAGTTTTTAACAAAAATAACAGTATATCACAAAAACGATACTTAAGGTTAAGAAATGAATGATAAGATGATATCAAAGTAAACAATTAGTGACCCTGATTACGTTGATTGCAGGCTTTAGATCAGGATTTCACGGAAGAAAACCGCCAGAAGTGTGCGGAGGCTGCTAAACCCCTGACAGACGCCGTGGACGAACTCACCACGTTCGCTTCCTCCCCAGAATTCGCCAGTATGCCAGCCAAGATCAGTCCACAGGTATACTGACCCTTATTGTATAAAGGTCTTCGACCACTGAAATAGCGGTAAAGTTTAGAGTAAATTTGCCAAGATATTTTATAAGAATGAAATATACGAGATATCTTCCTTAACGAAAATTCTCATTAAAATTGATAATATAGGTAGTTTTGAATTTTCTAAGTTACAAATACATGTATGTATCCATAATCCATGAAAAACAATTTTGTCTTCAGTCATGAATATTCATTAATTTCATATATTCAATCTTGAGAATTCATTTCATGTATTCAATCATGAATATTCATTTTCTGCAGTCAATCATGAATATTCATTTTATATATTCAATCTTGAATATTCATTTTATACATTCAATCATTAACATTCATTTTATGAATGTTCTATTTATTCCTCAGGCCAGAAAAGCCCAGGAGCCCATTATCGCTGCTGGAAAGGCCATGATAGATGGCGCCTGTAACATGGTGACTGCAGCCAAACAGCTGGCCGTCAACCCTAAAGATCCCCCCACGTACCAGCTGTACTCCAACCACTCCAAGAGTGTGTCAGAAGCCATTAAAAGACTGGTGTCCTCCATTAAGTAAATATCACAGTCAAAGACATTTACAGCAAAACATTGTCATAAAGAATTTCACAGCAAAGTGATTTTTCTTTCTGTATAACTGAAAAATGTTATGTTCTTTTCAGATGTGAATTATATTTATTTAAAAAAAGTCAAATTTTGAAGTGTATGACTCCACTGATGAGCAAATCTGATTTCACTTTAGTGCATTAAAACAACTTGTAGAGTTCAAAATGCTGTACCTATATAAAACTTAAATAAATTCACAATTTTTTTTGAATAGTGAAAATGATTTAAGTGGATTATCTTTTTTTTCAGGGACTGCGCTCCTGGTCAGAGAGAATGTGACGAGTCAATAGAGAAACTGAACCGGTCAATACGGGACCTTGACCAGGCATCACTAGCCGCGATCAGTCAAAGCTTACAGCAGAGGACAGAGAAATCCCTCAGGGTCAGTAACTAACTCATAGTCAAGGGGGGGAGGGGGGTGGTCATTACAGGACCTTGACCAAGCATCACTAGCGGCAATCAGTCAAAGCTTACAGCAGAGGACAGAGAAATCCCTCAGGGTCAGTATTATGTAGTCACAGGGGTGGGAGGGAGAGGGGGATTTATTTTGGTACGAATGTATTGAGGAAAATTACATTGAAGATTGAATGGTGTGTTTTGTATTGAGACAGAGAAATTTGATGTGAATATTAATTACAGGGCTTCCAAGAACAGATGATTGGTAGTGCCAGAGAAATCCACGACCTTTGTTCAAAGGTCAAGGACTCCGCTAAAGCAGAACCAGAAAATCTGGGTCACAGAGTAAGAGATGATAAGCAAATGACATAATTTTAAAAAATGCACTATATATGTTCCATTTTCATACTTTTGGTGTTCAGGAGATAAGGCTTTCCATATCTGCTCTGATTTCAGGTGACTATGATGGCCAGTTACTTTGGTCCCTTGTCAGATGGAGCGGTTGGCGCGGCCTCTCTGATTCAGAACTCGAAACAACAGACGCACATCCTAGACCTGACCAAGACTGTGGCCGAGTCAGCCCTACAGTTCATGTACTCCTGTAAAGAAGGAGGGGGCAACCCCAAGGTAGGATAAAACAACAACTCAAAGGGGAAGGGAGGTAGGGGGGATAAACAAAGGGGGCTCATCAGTTCATTTACTCTTTTAAAGAAGGGGAAGGTAACTCAGAAGTAGGATAATTACCACCATATATAACAAAGGGGGCTATACAGTTCTTGTACTCCTGTAAAGAGGGCAGAGGTAACCCCAAGGTAGGATAGTAACAACCACTCAGGCAGGGAGGAGGGGTGTATAATTATAAGGAGTCACAAATTATCAGGCTTATGTAAGAGTTAGATAGCACATATTTATAAGAAATACGTCTTGCTTAATAGGCACCTAAGCACACCCATGATAACACTGACACTGTATTTTTAGGCACCTAAGCACACCCATGATAACATTGACACAGCAGCTGAGAACACGATGGACGTGGTACAGGATCTGTTACAGTCACTGGAGGAGGCGGCCTCACAGGCCGGCGTAGTCAACAGCATGATAGAGAAACTGACCAAGTCCATCACAAAGGTAGGCACTGACTGACCAAGTCCATCACAAAGGTAGGCACTGACTGACCAAGTCCTTAACAAACTGACCAAGTCCATAACAAAGGTAGACCAAAACCATCATGAAAAAACCCTAAATTTGCAAAGAATATAAATCTTCCTAATATACAAATACCCTAAAGTAAAATTCAGATTCATATTGGGAATTTGTGAGCATTATAGTTCAATTTTGTCTTTTGTTGTATGCAGACCGATGAGCAAGTGATGGTGAGGGAGGGAATGTCCTTTGTGGAATACCAGTCTAACATGGTCAGCCTGGCGAAGAAGATTGCCATGACAACCCAGGAGATGGTCGGCAAGGCTGGAGTTAACCCCGCTGACCTCGGAAGACTGGCCAATCAGCTGACTCGAGACTATGACATTCTGGCCAGCAACTCGGCTAACGCTGCAGCCACAGCTAGTGGGCAAGATGTAAGTGTTAAAACAGGAGAGTCAACTTGTTTATCTGTAGTCTACTTGCTGGAGAAAACTAGGAACACTTTACAATGATTTATTCAAAATTATTTGAGATAAAATTACTATCAAAGGAGCTTTGTAATGTTCTGTAGTTAACACCATGAGGAAGAAAATATGGATACCGTATTTTTTCTGTGTTTTATAAATGTAAGTGCAGAGTTCCATCAGTAATAATAAATAACATTCGTACTATTTTTAGATCGCAAATCGTATCCGGACGACAGTGCAGGACCTGGGTAAGAGCTGTGTGGAGTTGGTACAGGATGCTGGGAAGGTACAGGGTGATCCTCACGATACGTTCGCGCGTAGAGATCTACAGGACCACGCTCGCAGCGTCAGCGAGAAGGTCTCATTCGTGTTGGCGGCCCTCCAGTCAGGATCGCGAGGCACCCAGGCCTGTATTAACGCTGCCAGCGCTGTCAGTGGTATCATCGCTGATCTGGACACCACCATAATGTTTGCCACTGCTGGGACACTGAGCACAGATGGAGACGATAGCTTTGCTAGCCACAGGTTAGTTGTGTGTTTTGATACAGTGTCAAATTTTATTTGAAGCCTTTTTTCTCCATTTTATGAAGAATTTAAGATAAAAATCTTAACAGCCTTTGGGAAAATATTGTAATTTTACATTTAAAATGATGACAACATTATCAGGGGGAACTGCTTTTATTAAGCTGAGAATGCAATTATGTTCTTGACAAAATTTATGTTACTTATGATAAAAATAAATTGATAATGTTTTTTGATAAAGTGTATTAAGCCAACAGATCAAAAAATTTTATTCAGAGTGAACTGTACCAGAATTTGACATTTTATTTGATATAAATTTTTCTGTGTGTATTATTTACAGAGAGGACATCCTTAAGACAGCTAAAGCCTTGGTGGAGGAGACCAAGAAACTGGTACAGGGGGCGGCCTCTGATCAGGAGACCCTGGCAGGGGCAGCCCAGCAGGCCGTCAAAACCATCACCAAACTCGCCGACGTGGTCAAACTGGGGGCCGCCTCACTGGGCTCCGACCAACCAGAGGCACAGGTAATCAGCCAATCAAAAGAGGAGATAGTTTGTCAATTATTGACCAATCAAAAGAGGGGATAAATTTTTTGTCAATTATGATCCAGTGAAAAGAGGGGAACATTTTTTTTCTGTTATGATTAAAATCTGAATTTGAGTTCATTTAAAAAATATGACAGTTATCAGAAATTAGTGCACAAACCACGATGTCTACATCCTTGAATATGTATTCCACGAAAAAGAATGTCCAATACATGTTTGAGCTTTAGTCAGAGTCTGAATTTTCAAGTACATGACAGGAACTTGAAAAATACAATATTGATTACTCAATACAATATTTATTGCCTATTTGGGGAAAGAAATGATAAATGAAAATTAATGCCTTTGTAATCATTTGTCTGTAATCTACTTGAAATTTTTTTCAGGTGATGATAATAAACGCAGTCAAGGACGTGGCCTCTGCTCTTTCGGATCTGATCAGTGCTACCAAGAACGCCTCCGGCAAAAACGTATCCGATCCGGCAATGCTGACCCTCAAAGAGTCTGCCAAGGTCAGTAAAGGTCAAGGTCACCTTGACTTACAATATCTTTATCTGATTTTCATTTGCATTTTGCTTAAAAGTGATGGAAAACATAATCAGAACTAGGGTAGAGGTACTAGTGAAGGGTTAGTCACAAGGGAAAGCTTTTGAATAATTTTCACTTTAAAGATTAGATTTTACACCAATATAACTTTAGTGTTGTGAGTGTCGTGTGGTATAATACACTTTTAATTCTATGGAAAAACCTTTTCTAGCAATCATCTGTAGGCATAGATTTTACCATCAGAAGTATACATGTCATTTTGGCCCCCATTATAAAGTCTGCTTGCATTATAATTGTCAGCATAGTATAAAGTTTCAAACGCCAGGCAAAGATAATGATAAATTCAAAGATGTTTTTGTAGAGCAATCTTTGTTATATTAGCCGTGTTGATTTTTACAGAAGACAGACTCAGTTATTGAGAAATTGCCGGACGGGTATACTATCTATGTTTCAAGCATGTACTGAGTGCAGTTAAAATTTCGGGCCTTCTCATTGGATGAATTTGTTCCAGTGTTGTTGACTTTTGAACTGATAATGGACATACAATATTTACATTGAGTGTTGTAATTAATCTGTCTATATATAAGTTTGACCTCGTAGAAAAATTTGGGCTACAAAGATATGGGTTGCATTGGAAATGGTGTTTCCATAGAAACTGTCTCATTCCCTGAAAAGAATGCTTCTAAAAATTAACAGCAGTTCAACCACACTATTTTAATTTCTTCTACAGAATAAAGAAGCTGAAGAATTTAGAAGGAATTAAGCTAGTGTACCCTAACATGTTTACTTTTTGTAACAGTTTGACTGAAAATGATGATAAAGGTTTTCAGCTCATATGAAAATGACATATCCAAATCAATGATCTATTTATTTAGTTCTCATTCTTTTCAAATATAAACATATCAAATTTTGAAAAAAAAAAAAAAAAAGAATTAAAATCCTAGTTTTGATTTAACAGGAAATGGGCAAGAAGTTATATGCATATGAGCTGATACAACTTGCAAAAACATTTTGCTTCTCAGAAATTTTTTGATGAAAAGAAAATCAGATCAAAAGCAAAATCTTTAATTCAAAAATTCTTTAAACAGTTAATCACTGAGAAGCAAAGTAAGAGACATTGTTTTAAATCCCAGAGCATTTATTACAATGCATGAGAGTTATTCTGATTGGAGTATAGAGTTGCAAATTTAGATCAGCATAGCCATGCCTCTGTTCTCATGCTGAACAGTTGTGTGCTGCCTAATGTTTGTTCTGTTCTCAGACCATGTGGAATATATGTACAGCAATGCTTCTCCATGAATTTCACTGAGTAACAGTTCCTCAACAGTATATTTAACGATAACTCTCCCTGAATTTTACTATGTAACTCAGCAACGCCTTATTTTCCAAAAGTGAGATGATAGTTGAATGACTTCTTGTGCATCTAGTTACAAAATCGATATAAATAATAATAATTGGGTTTTTTTCTGTCCTCCATCCATTTGCAGTATATTCAGCAATATTTTTCCCTGAATTTTACTATGATGCTCAACAATGCCTTATTTCCCAAATAGTGAGATGGTAGTTAAATGACTTCTTGTGCATACAATTATGAAATTGATTTTAATAACTTTGTTGTTTTCTCCTTTTGTTACTCCTGATTGAAGAATATCAATAACGACAGATACCAGAAATAATGAATACATTACAGAGGGTAGAATATAACCCTATTTATCAAGGATAGAATATAATGACATAAAAATAAAGAAAAGATTACTAACGGATAAAATATTTACTATTATATATGAAGGATATTAAACCGGGTGCTATATATGTTGTGTTTTTTATCAATATTGTTAGACATAGAGGCTTAGTACATGAGATTGTTACATATCATTTTGCTATGTTATTTTGCTTAACATGTCTGTGTTGATTAAAAAATGTTTACCTTATCAAGGGCTTATTTTCATTTTAAAAATGAAAGTAAAGTTGAGAAGAAAATACTAGCATTGTTTTAGGCTTGTGTTTTCTAGAGTGATTTTTAAGATTATTGAAATTTAACATTGATCTGAATAATATGTTGAAAGATACTGACAAATCCGGTGGAGTTTTAGGTAAGTATTGTTACAGATGAGTGTATCACATTATAAACTTGCCCCCTGACTGTTGTATTAAGTGTGTAACCTTGTGATTTCCTGAAGGTGATGGTGACTAATGTTACGTCGCTGTTGAAGACCGTGAAGACAGTGGAGGATGAAGCAGCGCGCGGAACCCGGGCATTGGAGTCCACCATCGAGGCCATAGGGCAGGAGATCAAGGTCAGTCTAATGCTTAATATGAGTCGATATTGATGAGGAGGCTTTCTTACACCAAGATACAGTTAACCATGTAAAAAACCAAGAAAACTTGATTTCCTTTCTAATATTCATTGGTATCGGAAAGTCCATTTTCTGTTAATTTCTGTGATAGTTGACAAATGTAAGAAAAGTTCACTTGTTTTCTTTAACAGTCTTATGAGGCGGGAACTCTACCAGAGAAGAAGGCTACAGCAGAAGATCTGATCCGTCTGACTAAACCTATCACCACGGCAACTGCTAAAGCAGTGGCTGCTGGGAACTCAGCCAGACAGGAAGACGTCATTATCTGCGCTAACATGGGACGCAAAGCTATCTTTGATCTTCTGGCCACATGCAGGGTAGGAAAGAGTAGTCAAACGTTGAATTGATGTAAATTGTGCGTTTTAAGGGTTGAATAATTGGATATAAATCATTTTCAAATTGAAGAGGTCAAAGGTCATTGAGCAGTTCTAAAACAAACTTGGGCAAATGTTAAATATGTACAGTAGTCTTTTGGCTAAACTAATTATCACGACTGAATTTTGTTTGACAGTACTGTGATTTTCTTTTTAACCAGGGTACAGCCAGCACTGCGGAGACGACTGAGGTCAGACAAAAGACGATACAGGCCGGGAAAAGCTGTGCTGTGGTGTACAAAGACCTGCTGGAACAAGTCAGTGTGGTAAGTACACTGTATAACAATTATAAATGAGTACTGTGATGTTAACATGTTGTCTGTCTATAAAACAGATTTGTAAAACTAAATGCAGTTGATGGTACATGTACAACATGTACTTGCAATACTGCTGACATTGTTAATCTTGGTTACTGAGTTAGAGAAAAAAAAAAAATTGTTCAGATTTCGGTTCATGGTTCCATTTTAAACTGTTAGCTGAAATGTTGAAAGTTTTGGCACTTTTTTTAGGTGGTTCAAAAACCTTCCCAGGAGTCCAAGCAGACTCTGGCCGCACTGTCCAGACAGGTGGCGACCTCTGTACAGGAAGTAGTTCATTGTGCGGAACTCATCAAAGGTAGGCAACTCCTCACTTCCTGTCTCAGCTATTGGGATGTGATGTGTAGTCGTAAATATGTAAATTATAGACGTGTAATATTATCATAGCGAAAGCATTTGCATTCTATATAGCATATTCTGCTGGGGTATGGCAAATCTATACTCTATATGATAATAAATATGTGTGAGTTGTATTCTTAAATACATAGTATTGGATTATTTACTGGATGAAAATATTTGCTTATTATCATTTTGGCTCAAGGGTTTTGATAAGAGATTTCAGATACATTGAACACTATTAAATTTGTGTAAGCTAATTCTTTGCTAATTGTAGCAGGTTTTGTACAGGTGTTCCTAAAATCAAAAATTTTTAAAAATAAATTTTAAAAAATCAAAACTAGGACGACAAGAGAAAATTTCTTCAAAAATAGAGTTTTACAGATAGTTAACAAATTAATGTTGAAATGGAGGGGGAAATAATTGGGTTTTGTAGGAAATATCAGTCCAAACTTTAAAAAAAAATTAGCTTACAAATCTCTTTTTTTAGGGTGATATTTAGCTGGTTTTCATACATGCGTTCTTGTTTTTAGTGGGCCAGCTAACACCAGACGGAGGTGTGTACACATGTCGTGTCTTGCTTTATTTTATTTTGGTGTTACTCTGTCTAATGTCTTGTTTTATCAGGAGTGTTAATGAAATGCCACATGGAGGCAAGAAAAAAAAAGATTGTGGGCATTTAATCCAGACGATTGATTTATATATTAAAGAATGTTAAAATGAGAGGAGAATTTTAACAGGCATATTTGAGGAGGAAATTAGTATATTTATATCTAGAGTATTCATCTTTGTTTCCTACTATGCAGATATGAAAAGGTTATTTTGAGGAATTAGACTGCATAATAATTATGATATCAATACACATGAATGAATATGTAAAAGAAGGATTTATACTCGAGAGATTAATCATGCTGCACTTGATACAGAGATATTAAGGGAATCTAGAGGGATCTTGATTAAATGGAATATGTACATATATATATATAATATATACCTTGGATGTCTTGTCTCGTATGCATGCTTAACGTTCTGCATTGTCCGTTTTTGGTCCCATTTAGGGGAAGCAACTCTTCATCGTAATGAAACTGATAAAACTTTGTCTTTTAATCAGCCTCCAAAGAAATTCGCTGGTCCCATATTGTATCAGGTAACCAGGGCAACGCTGATCAAGAGAATGCTTTCATTGTAGGTTAGGAGTATACAGATGCTGCAGTAATAAAACTGTCATGGCTATATTTAGCAGGGGAGAGAACATGGATTATAATTTTACAATTTTTTGTAGAAGATTGAATTTGGCTCACCTTTGGTTATCAAAATAGCAATAAAATTATTGCTTAAAATCAAATGTAAGACAATCTTTTCTTCTTCAGCAAAGAAATCAATCACCCCTCCTCCTTTTATACTTAGTATGTAACTTAATACTTGTACACAAGTGACCAAGATTTCTTTTCTTTTCTTTACATAGGATTTTTTAAGGTAAAATATAGCCATATTTTGTTATTGCAGCATTGTTTTCAGTCCAAAACCAAACTTAGGAACCAGAACGTTACACAATTAATATCCTGGATAGAATTAATACCTGTGTTCCTGACATCATAATATTGACCTTGACATCTGACCTAAGAGTTGTCTGACCCTGATATCTGACCTTTAAGTTTTCTGACTTTGACATTTGACTTAAAATTTATCTGACCCTGACATTCGACCTTAAATTTGTGTGATGAAACATGGCTGAAATATTGCAGACTCTGCAATAAACAATCATCAATCCACCTTAAATTTATCTTACCTTGACATTTGACCTTAAAGTTATGTTACCTTGACATCTAACCTTAAAGTTGCCTGACGTATAATAGTTAAACTTACTTTATATGACATTCAAGAGAGACAGTTTAAATGTTACAAATGATATTTAAATACATACTGGTTATATTGGCATGCCCATTCTAATCAGACCAAAACAACACGTGGAGATGAGGTCATCTATTTAGTGGTTTCTGTTTTCTGTTAAAGGATTTAAATTTTTGAAAGAACTTAAAAGAGAGATAATGAACTTTACTGGAAAATTAGCAAAAACAAAATTAAAGATAAATTTCACTTGTTCACTAGAATTAAATTGAAGGTATTTTAGTAGACCATCTCCATGTGTTAATGATATGTATACCATTGCATAAGCTTATCAATGATTGTGTTGATTTAGTATATAGCCTTCAGTGATCTTCAGTGTTGTTAAAGGGTAAAATGATATTGCCCTGTTTTATGTGAATGCTGCAAAATGAGAAGAAAAACTATCAATATCACAGGGTCATTAATTAGTACTTTAATAATTAAACGAATACTTATGTATAATCATGATGTCTTCCAAAAGCCAAGTAAAAGTGGAGAGGTTATGTCGACACTCGACAGCATAAATTTTTATTAAGTTCACATGAATTTCATATCACTCAAGTTTTCATGCAAATTGTTTTGTTAACTACCATATCATTCCTCATGTTCATTCCTCATTAATTATTGTCCACACCCTGTACAGTAGAACCCATCCTATATATATATATTATCTTACAATGTATTACCCAATCCAGACTTTGTTAAATTGTCCCCTCTTTTGATAAGTTTTTTCTCTACCCCATGACTACAAATTCCAATATATATAAATATATTTTCATTCGATAGAGTAGAAATATTTTTAAAAGAAATTTAGGATGCAGTGACCTATATTTCAAGCATGAATTTTATTATTTTATTTTTGATTTGTTATTGCAGGACATGTTATATGTTGGCTTGTCTGAATTAAGTTTCATTTTCTTGCATGTATCCAGATTATTTATGAATGCTTTGAAGTAAATTTAGTGACCACCACATTATGAATTCAACTTTGTCTTTATATTTGAAAAAAAAATGTTTTTCATCATAAAGTTTGCTACCAACTACTTTCTTAGGTAATTTTGATATGGTAAAATTCTGTAATAAAAAATCAAAAGAAAGAGATGCCTAAGAAATATGACTTCAGAGTAAGAAATTTGCAACATTTCCTCATCAAAGTTCATAATTTCACCCATTTTCACTTTTTAGTAAATTCATTATCAAGCATATATTCACACTTTATATCATTCATATTACTTCCATCTATTTGCAGTACTTTGATTTTTCACTCTCAGTACTTTCATGCCTTTGATTTTGTCACTGTATTTTGTTAGGTACAGATTGGGTTGATCCTGAGGACCCCACAGTGATAGCAGAGAGTGAGCTACTGACAGCGGCCAAATCTATAGAGGCTGCCGCACAGAAACTCTCACAACTCAAACCACGCAAAAAG